TGTTTAGATGAAGTACAAACTTAATTTGTAGTATATGCATTGTCTTAAATGAGAAAAACACCACTCATTTGAGTCATTTCTACAAATGACCCTTACAACTTTTGGACGTGGATTTTTTTGGTCCTTTGAAAACTAAAAACTTTGGTGGAAATTCCTATACTCTTGTAGTTCTAAGTGAATACTCTCTCTCTATACATGTATATTATTTTTATAGTAGAAAAGAGATATATTTGTTTCCTTTTGAAAAGTAGTAAAAATTATCCAAAACGAAAAAGGATTAAGCATTCTATTAATCCGAAGTGATCATAGTGAAAAATTAATAAATAAGAAATTTGAAATTTTTGTAATGAGAACGGTATTCAATACACATTTTCCACTTCATGAACTCCTTAACTAAATTGGATAGTGGAGAGAGAAAATATATCTTTCAAAGAGTTATCAATGATGATATTCAATGAGACAAATCTTTCTAAATACTTTTGGATCGATGTAGTAAGTACTATTTACTATGTAATGAATTGTGTGATCAATTCTAAAATAGATGTCTTATAATTTACACAAAAGAATAAAGTCAAATATTTCTCATTTATATGTCTTGGGATGCAAATGTTATGTGCTTAATAATAGAAGACATATTACTATGATATTTCATTTCTAGTAAATATTTTATAGTTTTGAATAAAAAAACTCTTACAATAAAAGAACCCGTTCATGTTATCTTTGATAATGTATTGTTGATTGTACAACTATTCTAGAAAAAACATCCTTTGAAGATAAAGAGAAAGATGAAGATCATAAATAAATAAAGAAAAGAACCAAAGTCAAATTGAAGGCTTTCAAAATGAAGAAGCAAATATAAAACTTCAGATTTTTCCCAAAAAATGGACGTTTTGGCCAATTGGCACGGACAGATGCACATTGTGGCATCATGTTACTAAAGCCACATTGCATATACTCTTCATCTTATGTTAGAAATTTTCAATGTGATTCAAAATTTGTAAACTTAAAATGATTTTCATATTTTTATGCAAAGTTTATATAAACAAATAAGTGTAATATACTATTAGATATGATTTATAAATTTTTTAAATTGATTTTAGTTTTGTTAGTAACAACTACAAACGTGAAATCAGTTATGAAATTTGTAAAGAATCAACTATATAATAAAATGAGTTATCAATACTTAAATATATGTCTTATTACGTTTATATGTTTTTAAAATAATTAACAAAATTAAATTATTTTAGTTTATTTTCAAAAAAGAAATAGATTGTAGACAATTTTTATTGTAAATATATTAGATAAAACAATATTATTTTTAATTCATAGTTTCTTGTATATTTAATTCACTAATATATAATATATAATATTTGGGTCTATCCCAACCAATTGGTGACATTTTTTTATGTCAAGTACTCTTTTCCTTTCAAAATAACATTGTTTAAGGTTTTTATACATAAATTAAAGAATGTAATAATATTGTTATAAGATATTATATTTTTATAAAATTAATTTCATTAATGTATTAAAAATAGTGTTCAAAATAAAAAATAAATAACTCAATTAAAAAAAATTATAATTATTACTATATTGAAAAGTGAAAATGACAATTATTTTAAAACAAATTTTATTTATTAAAATGAAAATTATTTTAAAATGAATTGAGTAATTAGTTTATTCTTGACATTCAAAACTCATTAATTTATGTGCGCGAGATTAAAAATTGTCTTTATAAATTGTATAATTTGTGTTGTTTTTCTTGTTCCTTGATTTAAAAGTTTGTGTTGTAAAAAGCATTATTGATATATTTCGTAAAATTTAATAAAATTAAAAATTAAAGTAGCAACTTTTTAAAAATAAATTCTTTATAATTGCGATAAATATAGTAAGATGAATGAGTCACCTAATACTAATACTAATGTGCAAAACTATTAAAATGGGCCAGCTATATGGGCTGGCCTGGCAAATCCAGAAAATGATAGGGTTTTAGTCTTAAAATTAAAACTCATATTTTTCAAGTTTTTTTTTAGTTCAGTCTTAAAAAACATGTTATTTATTAGGGCTAATCCATATACACTGTGGGTACCTATTAAGCCCGTATAAGTATACATTTAAAAAAGATTATATTAATATTTATATTATCTCATTTAAAAGTAATATATTGATTTTCTCACCTCACTAAATTTTATTTCTATTTTATTCAATCTTTCTCTTTTAAATATTATACATTAATATAATTAATATTCTTTTATTTTATTCTGTTAATTTTTTCTCTTATGTTAAATATTTAAGTATTATTTTATACAATTTAAACATGTATTGTATATAAAAACACATTATAGTATTTATAAAAGATAATATAATATTTAAAAATATATTATATTTAAAATAATAGAATTTTTAATTTTAAAGTATGAGATTTTAATTTTAATTTTTTAAAATAAAAAACACATTTAAGACTGAATATTCCAAAACTCATATTACAATTGACAACTCTACTAATATACATTAAATGATTTACTAATCGAAACCTTAAACCACTAAATTTTTATAGAATAATGTGATGACACGATGCAACAACAACTGTATTTTGATTAATTGTGGAAATGCAAAGTTTTAGAACTAGACGAAAACATTTATAGAAAAAGTTGCACTTAATTAGGCCTTGTTGTGTTGGTGTGTTTGGGAGCCAGCGATGCGTAGCAGCATAGCACGCACAAGTCGTTGCATCCAACCAGAGAACCACACGTACGCGCGTATTTTCCATATTCATTTCCGTGAATATCGCCCCAGGGAAAGAGGTTTTGAGTGTTCAATTTGGTTTTTTACTTTGTAAAACCCTTTCACACAAAACCATGGGAAGTTTACAACCTTTAATAAATTATCTATACTCCTTCCATCTCAAATTATAAAACATTTTGAAGAAAAAAATTATTTTAAATAATAAATTATTTTACGATTTCAACATAATATTAATAATGTTTTTTTAATATTTTTTAATTCTCTTAATTTCTTTTTATAATTAATTAAAAAATAATAATATAAAATCATATATAATTTTTTATTTTCATACAACAATGATTAAGTTAAGACGAAAGGAGTAGTAATGATAAAAAAATTTTGTATGATTTACTTTAAAATTGTCAAATTTTTTTAATTTTAATATAATACTTATTTTTATTATTTTTTAATTTAACAATTTTATTTTATATTCATAATAAAGAATAATATACAATACATCTAAACATATTATTCTCATTTAAATCTATTTCATAAAACTCCGTACAAAATAAAATAGAGTTGAATGAAGTGGGTTTTTTTAAAGGTGGAAATCTAAATATGAGTACGGAACGGGATGAATACGTAGATATTGCATTTTTTTATGTTAAGAAGATACTAAATTTTCATATTAATATTCGTATTTGTAAAAGGTCTATAAAAACGAGACATATCAAATATATTAAAAGGTAAAATCTTAAATTTTTGATTCGTCCCACAAAAATGTACGGTTAAAATTTTAGTTCGTCCAACAAAAATATATAAATAAAACAAATATAATAATTTGACGGATAGGATTTATTTTCCACCTCTATTTTTTATTGATAAATAATATAAATAAGAGTAAGTTTATTAGATTGAACCGAGTAGTCTACTTTAAAAAATTAAATTGAAAATCTAATACAATATTGATAAAAACATCATTTCGAACTTGTTAAAAGTCTTAGCATGACATACTAATATATTTTAAAGTTTACTATGTATTAAATCTTTTACGCACATGAAGTTTTAAATTTAAGACTTAAATAATTTTTTGATTTATGTAAATTAACATGTTTTTTTAATTTTGATTCTTTTTTTTTGGAAATAATTCTTAAATATTAATTTTTTTTTGGTTTTAATTATTAAAATTAAAATTCATAAGAAAATTCAAACATAAAACCTATAAATTTTCTTACAGATTTTCATTTTAGAAATTAAAATTAAATGAAATTCAATATTTAAAAATTTTATCCAAAAAATATAGATATAAAAATAAAAAACACGCTAACTTACATAAATAAATAAAAAACTATTTAAATCTAAATTTAAATATAATAATAAGAGTGTTAGAGTAAAAAATTTAACATAATAAATAGTATTTTATATGTTATTAAAGTGAAAATCAAACACGGTAATAAATATCGACTGTGTAAATTTTTTTTGATAAAGTATGAAACGTGGGTGTTGTCAGTTGAACTAAGTTTAAGACACATCTATAGAATTATTTTTATCGGTATAAAATAATGAGTCAAATCATTTATTTTAAAACAAAAAGAAGATATGTTCAAAAATAAGAAAACAAAAATACCTCTGTACTTGTTCTTACAGCAGAGATCGGTTGTTATTTGTAATTTTCTCCACTTTATTCTCACAATCTTCAGTTCACATTTGTCATTTTCTTCAAAATAAAAGAATGATTTCGTATAATTGCAATCTCACAACCGAGACGGTATAATTTGTCTTATTATTCCATTGCGTCATCTTTTTCATTTTATTTTCTTCACACAAATTCTGTTACACAGTCACAAGAGTCTGCTGTCTAAATTCTGTTAGACGGTAAAAATATTACAAAATTAATTTTATTAATTTATTAGAAATATTGTCCAGCAATTAAAAAATAATAATATTTATATTGAAAAATGAAAATAATAATTATTTTAAAACAAATTTTAATTATTAAAATAACAGTAACTTTAAAATGAAAAGAGTAATATTTATATGAGTATCACATCACTTAAACCTCTAAAGTAATTCCTCTTCTTAATCTCAAAACCATTCACTAAACTAAAGATTATGAAAATTAATTTAGATTAAAACAAAATTTCACTCAATTCTAATTCATTTTCTCATCTTAAATTTACACATCCCGAATCATGCAACACAATCCAACAGAGTTTAAAGCAAAAATTAAGAAATTAAACCAGATGAGAAACGAAATTAATTAAGCAAATCAAATAAAGTCACTGTTGGTGATTCCGATGATCTGCAACTTCCGTTTCCTTCTCCGATTTCTCAACCGCTTCATGATTTGGAACCTCTTCATCGGAATTCAGATCCATTACAGAAGAAGATTTAGGAAAAACCGGAGTAGCCAAAAACGAAGGGTTTGAATCACCAGCCATAATGACAAGAAATTTCTGTTCATAAACTTTAACAGATTTTTGATTCAAACTATCACCTTCTTTTTCACTGTTTCTGTTGTTGTTCTCTTCGTCTTGTAATTGACTATTGAGTCTCCAATAAGAGCAAGCTAAAATCAAGAGAGCGAAAGCTATGAGGCCTAGCATCGCTGCTAGGCCTCCGAATAGATAAGGAATCGGCGAGTGCCATGAAGAATGAGAGATAATTGAAGGCGATGAATATGGTGAAAATGAGTAACTAGTTGAAGTTGTTGTTGGTATGGTTCTCATATTTTTTTTTGAAGGTAGGTTTCGATTTGGTATAGAAATTAAGAAGGTGGTTTGAGAATGAGAGATGGATGATTATGGAGAGGTTGAAGTGAATGGAAAAGTTGGAGAAAGAGTGAGTGGTATTTATAGGGGTGAGAAATTATGAAATGAAGAAAGGTGGGTCACGGACTTGGCCATGTTTTGTTGGTGTAAGGCCAGTATTGTAGGGTACCCTCTAGAAATTTTGAAATGAATTTTCCGCATAAGCAAAAATCATTCATTATTGATATTTTAGATCATTTGAAATTAAGTATTATGATGTATTTAATTCAAAATTTGAACCAAGTGCGTGAAAAAAAATGGGACTACATACATCTTTGTTTGGCTCATTTTTGTTTATTGAAAATTAAGAAAGTATGTGTGTTTTTATTTAAAAAAATGCTTAATTAACATGGAAACTATTTATTTTGATCAATGAAGTGTATTAAAATTACAAAATATTCATAGAGTTTTATTGTGTTAGTCATTTGATCTTTGAATGTGTTAGTTTTAATCAATTTAGACTAAAAGTTAAAACTCGCTTTTTATTTCATGATTATTTGAACATTGCAATCAAAAATTTGTTATTTTTTATAAAATCATTTTCTTTTCTATTTGACCTTTAACTATTTATTACTATTTATTTTCTATTTTTTTCTACAAAAACAATATATAAAACTGAATATACTAAACAAGAAAAAATATATTAAGAGATATATTTGAAATTTTAATGTATTCAAAGTATATAGTAACATCAATTATAATATTCTTGAATAAATAAATATAAAAATATTAATTTATGATTTACTGCATGTGTTACAAATTCAAAAGAGAAATATATTTTTGTTTAATCTTGCATTCAATAATTAAAATTTTAAACATTAGTATTACTTTTAACACTAATTTTTGTAAATTAAGTGGATGAGTATGTGAGTTTATACATGATTTATTTATCCTTTTTAATGGATGAGTATGTGAGTTTATAAATTAAGTGGGTTTTTGTTGTACATTAACATTGGCACTCTTTTAATTTCCAAAGCATTTAAAAATGGTTGTGAGCTGTGACACGGTTTTGAGTTTTTCATTTTGGACTCGGTCAAACATGAAAGTGAGACGCGGCGAAAATAAAAAGAATGTAGATTAATTTTATTAATTGTTTATTGTTATTTTGTTTTTTTATAGTCAGCGTATTAGTTAATTTTGTTAAAAGAAAAGAAATAAATAAGAGAAAGATAGAATAATATAATTTGCATTGTTTTCTTTAAGATGCAATTTTTTAACATGCGACAAGATCTATTTATAGAATGAGATTTGCATCTACCATTTGATGAGAGTCTATTTATAGAATGACATTTGTTGTCAAAAACTTACAATCACACATTCAAGTGTATGTAGCCGTTCAATTAAAATTAGATGATTTTGATTTAAAAAAAATAATTTTTAATTTGTAAGATATAAATAAATTTATTTTTTTTATATCAGACGATTAAGATCGAACGAATAATAACATCATGAGAACGTGAATGCGACAAAAAAACTAATTTTAGAGAATTTAATTTTTTTATTTATAGAACAAAAATACAATAATTTACATAGTGACGTTACAAGTTTGTAGAGTGTGTAGATTAGTTATTGATTAACTATAATAACAAATAAAAGTCATATTTAATGATTTTTATTTAATGACGATTTAACCTAACATTTATTTTATGAAATTTTATTTAACTATATTTTAATCCACGTAAATTTAAGGTTTTGTATAGCAACTTGCTTGTATATTCTCAAAGAAGGAATTGAAAAATATATAAATAATCGATCATAATATATTATTAATATTTTAATAATTTTACTGATTAAGTCCTTTTTATAAGACCAAGATTGGTTCTACATCTAACTTATGTTTTGATAATAACTTTACATGTTATTTTTGAGAATAATTGTGTATTCTAACGGTTTATGTTTAGTGTGTGGCTTTTGCTATATATGTTCTGACTCTAGTAAGAAAGCATGTGATTAAATCAGATTTCAATTCAGTAGGTGCATCAGCTGCAGGATAGTGAATACATACACCATTACAGTTCACATCAGGGGCAGCCAACTGCCTCAAAGTTTTTTGTTCAACCATGTTATAAACAAATACAAAAATATTAACTATGTCTCAAACATGCAGAAATAAATAGAAAGAGGGAAAACGATTAGAATAAATTCAGAAAAATATAAAAACGCCAAAATTAATCTAATGAAGTAAAATAAGAATTTTGAGTTTTTTTTTGAATTTTTCCGACACCGTAAAAACAGTAAAAAATAAATTAAAAATAGAAAAAAGTGTAATTTGCGATTTTGAGGGGCCAAAATCCTCTAGAATAGTGTTCGTTGATTTTTTTCTGATTTACACAAAAAATTTCGGATCAATTTGAAATAGTAGCTTACAAACTTACCTAACAGGCTAAAATAATTACCACTATACTGCAACAAGTATTGTAACCCTGAAAATAAACAAAAACAACAAAAAAAAAACAAGGAAAAAAAAAGCAAGAACACTATACCTATGACTATAATATCAGTTAATAAAAACAAGAAGCCCGGAAAACAGATATGGGTACCAAAGGATAAAATTATATATGTTGCAGATATTTTTAACAGCAAAGTTGAAACACTAGTCTTAACACCTGGATTTTGGATGCTCTCTACTCATGATGGGAAGAAAGCATATGTTCCAAAGCCTGAAATTTAAAGGATTCGCAGGTTTAAGAGGCAATCAGAAACAAAAGGTTATTGGCTCTAGAACTATTGGGGACGGTAATGAGAATACAACATTAGAAGCTTTCTAAAAGAATCTCAGTTAAATCGGGAAGAGGATGTCACACCTTTTCAAGCAACTTCTATCAAAGCAAGACAAATAGAGCTTTTTGAACTTTTTGATTCTTGACAACAAGAGGGAGAAGGAAATATATTTTGACTCGTATCAGAAGCTATATTAGAAGATCTTCAGGGAAGTATTTTATTTTCTCGTTATCTGAGTATTCTACTCAGGGGAAGTTTTTTATTTCTTTGTTCTTTATATTCCATCAAAATATACAAGTTTTTGTCATCATCAAAAAGGGGGAGATTGTTAGAACATAATTTGGTTCTACATCCCTGTAAGAGTTTTGGTGATAACAAACACATGATATATATATAAAACAAATATGCTCGCTAATAAAAGTATCCTTATATGCAAGAAGTTCTGATATGAAAAAGATCTACTAGAACTAGAAGTTATGATACAACGAGTATAGAAGATGAGAGTATTATGATATAATCAGACACATCCTTCTTAGAAGCAAATCTATGTGACACGCTTAAATGAAGAAGTTATGCTATAACTTCATAATGTACCAACGCTGTGAAACAAGACCTCTGATATTCTGATATGCAAAGTTCTGATATAAGCAGTATGGGACTCCCAACGGTAACACTCATCCTCTGATGTGAGAAGCTCTGAAGTGTTACAGTTTATCAATGCATATCAAAAGTAACGGCTATAAAGAGACAAGAATCTCCTGGTTTGGAAAGATCATTAATTCGTGTTATGAACATTCCAAAATCATCTTCTTATGTCACTGTTGCATGACCTATATAAAGAAGACGAAAAGAAGAATTCATGTGACGAACATTTTGCGCACGAAAAAGAAAATCATTTATCCAGTTCTACCTAGTAATCTTAACTTGTATAAAACATCCTTGTGATACTGTTTTATTAGAAAACACTCTTGTACACATTTATTCAAATATTATTTTGTAATTCCTTGAGAAAATCAGGTTGTGGTTTTAGACTCAAGAAGACATTGACAGTTGTCATTGTGATTTGTAATCAAGATTGATTAGTGGATTAAGACCTCGTTGGAGAGAGGCGAAATCACCTTGGCGGATGGATTGGAGTAGTTTGATTTCAAACGAACCAGGATAAAAACCAACGTGTTCTTTTCATTATGTTTTAAGATCCCAATTCAATCCCCCTTTCTTGTGTTTTTTTCCTTCTTCAATGCATACAATCAAATTTAATCAATTCTATCCTATGAACAACAATTGCAGTCAAATAAAGCAAATGATTTCATAGAGAAGGATTAAAGAAAAATCGAATTTAATTTAGTATTAGAATAACCTCAAAGTAATTGAACCCGTAAGCAGCAGGATTTGCCTTCGGGAATTAGTTCTCCATAGCAAGTGTACAAAGCAAAAATAATTTTCGTGAATAGAAGGTAAAAATGAATAGTATTGGCTGCCCTAGTTATAATAGCATAAGGGTTAAACCAAAAATCTGAACCGGGTCGGAAATTACAAACCAGACCCATAAAATTGACCCAAAATAAAATGTATCTAAAGCTGCAAGTTCAACGAATTATTCAAGCCTTCTATAATTCGAATCAGCTTTTAGCTCCAACTTGAAAGTCGTAGCTCTTTCTCTTAGTTTTCCAACGCATATTAGAACGCCTCAATCCGATTCATGTAGCTTCAGTTATGAATTTTTCAATGAAAGCTGTCAATGCTGAAAATTAAATACGAAAATCAAATTAAACCAAGAATAAACTAAATTAGAAAAACATTATAAAACATAAAAATAGACAAAGTAAAACATAGAAATGACTAAGTACAAACATGGAAGAATGTGCATCAAAATGTACTGATCAAATTCCCCCACACTTGAACTTTTGTACTTCGAGCAAAATAAAATCAAAAGAAACACAACAAAATCATCAGTTACTCATTTCAAGCTACAAACTCTTCTTCGGTTAAGATTGCATCGATAGATATTAATCTTTCATACTAAGGATATCGTAAGAACACTACTCCGCAATTGTGAAGTCATAAGCCTCCTGAATATACAACCCAATTTGAATCATGTTATTATGCAAAAGCCTAACTTACTCATCCTCCTTTTTTCTATCTTTCATTCTGGCGTAATCACATTAAACCTGTTATCTCCACACACTCTTAGTAAG